GATTCTCCACCCACGTATAGCACACACCTACTGCCGTAGTTCTAATTCTTAGCGTGGCCACAATGGCAATAAACTATTATTCGCGGATTTTCTCTTCCGCCCAAACATATTCTTGGCATTAAAGTCTTACCCCGCTTGCGTTATGCCGTCCTGCGTGCCGCTGCTTGATTCTAGTGTTCTCATGTCCATTCTGTCGGTTTGAGTACTATCGCACATACTGCGGAATGACCATAAGACACTCTGCCTTTTTCCTATTGGTTGTTCACCTTCAGTTGCTATTCTTTCCAATCTGGGGTAAGGCTGCATTTATTCCGCATACGGTTCTAATTAACCATGCTCATTTCCATACCGTTCGTGCATTTTTCACCTTATTTAAATTAGGCTTTCACTTTAACAGGAGCGTCAATTCCAGGCATACACGGCCAGCGCCATTTACGCCTCCACTCATTTGCCCCACCCGTATAGCCCCTATTATCACCGGCCCCGTAAGACAGGTAGCTAGCAGTTTTCGGCACCGGGAGGGCTACCAACTACCATCTAACCTAAGCCTGGAATATCACTCCTTATCGTAAAAGATTCGCTTATAGTTATTTTTACTTCATCCGCAACTAGACGACTCCTACCTATCAGACATGGTCGGCAACGCCCGTTTGCATCTTCTTCCTCTCACAACTGTCAGACTTAAACTTTTACGGTCACCAAGCTTTACTTAACAGCTTTACATGGAAAAATGCGGAACTGAACCAGAAGAATCTGGCTCAATCGTCTGATCGTGCGGCTGACAACAAACGCATCTAAGATCGCTAACGTGGGGGCTATGTCGGAGCAGAAAACAGACTACGCGAAGACGATGACGTGCGCGCGGGCTGGCGAGATTTTAAACCTATGCCGAGACTGCGAATTTTCTCTAAACGTACGATGATGTCTACCAGTTCTCATCTTACTTACAGCCCCAACTATCTGAATTATGAGGTCATTTCGCCTACCGGTGGTGTTGCGTAGACTCATTGTACTGCAACTGTTTTTCCAAAATCATGCCCCTCCGTCATATTAAAATGAAATCAGTGTTTCACTTTCATTAACTTATATTCACTCACGTCGAATTGGCCTAGTTCCCAGACGTAAACGCATATTGCCCGAATTTTAGATAGATTTGTCTGTAAACGCACTCCTTGTCGTACAAGGTTTTCTAAAAGCCACTTTCAACTGCATATTCAAAGAGAAGATTCCGTCCGCCTTCCTCTTATCGCAGTCAGCACCACGCCGTTGGGGTTAGTAAGCATTACTTGACAACTTGATATCGAAAATTAGCTGAGCATGCGGAATTCATCCAGAAACGTCTGCCTCGGTTGACTGACTGAGAGGATGTCGAAAAAACAAATCTAAGATTATTATCGTGGAGGCTATGCAAGAAGAGAACAGACTTCGCGCAGACAACGACTTGTATGCGGGCTGGATTGCGAAAGGAAGCAGACAGTGTGCGTTTTCTCTATATACAAGCTGATGTCTACCAGTTTTCAGCCTACTTACAACCCAGGGTATCCTAATTAATCCTTTGGCTACTCTGTCCGGGAAGAAATACAGATATTTGAACAAAGAAGACTCAGTTCCCACTAGAGACCGTCGGATATTTTTCTGGCTATGTCGGGCAAAACCTCGTCTCCCGTCACCATGCTGCAATTTTTGCTGATTATCGCTGGTGGATTAGTGCCAGGAACTTTGTCCAAACGTCCTAATTGCTCAGAATAATTATCCATTATTACGGTCTGACATTATTTCGTGATGAAGTATGGCTTCGACCGACACAGAGCATGGCATACCTAGGCCTGATTGCGGCGTAGTAACTGGTGTCTGATCTGTGCAGAGCTATTAATGTTCGCGTTTGATAGCATACAAAATTAATTTTCGGTGGTAGAGTGATGCTCACCGGTCGTTTATACATAACTCGCTCATCCTGTTATACCTTACGGGCTCTCTATTGAACCCAACCAGCAGTGGTACAGCGGCGCATGATGAAAGCAGGATGGCATTACCGATTTTTGTCAGTAAGAACATTCTGCCCTAAATCCATTTTTCCCTTCCAACGACAACTCAATAAAAACCGGTTTATACTCCCGATTGCGTGGCATAACATCAGAGATTATTGAATCCCAGGTTTGGTTTCTATTGACAGATGACTTGTGATACAATTTCCTTGTCTAATGACCTTTTCTATTTGTTGAAGATGCACTTAAACGGTAACCAATAACACATTTAGTTTTAAGATAATTATTCGAGAGTCTGAGAAGGATATGTCACGACGATCGCTTGCGAATATGCCACTATGCGGTTCCATTACCCTTTCTGGACGAATAACGTCGCATACATCAAAATCACCCTCGCAGAATCTGGTTCATAAATGCTACAACTACCAAAAAATTAAAGCACTCGAATGAACTCCAACTATTTTTATAGTGTTTGCTGTTGTGTTGTTTCCTATGCAAAAATGATACAAGAAAAATCGACCAGCATGAAAGCCCTCCGAACTTCATGTCCCCTACCTTGTGGGGCAATACTAAGAATAGATTTGCTTAAAAATCCAAGAGAAGATCTGTGTGTTTCATAAAGTGCATAGTTGAAATAGAGCATATATAAATACTTATGAAATATCATTTTATGTTAAACGAGTTTGCAGTGTATTGCTCGCCTTTTTTGGACATGCATTTTCGAAACACTAGATCTGAGAAGGGGTGTTCTCCATATCTTCGAGTTGTTTTTTCTTACTACCGATGTTAGTGTTAAAGAGATGCATTAGTCCGACAGTAATCGCTAGAATATCACAACTTTATATAAGGGACTACAACATTTCACTTACGTGCGTGACTGACAGATAACAATCGGTATTTAAGTGAACCCGATTTATTGCAGCAGGTTCTCTCAAAAAGGATTGAATTTCAGAGAGCTCAAATGGTCGCAAAAAAATATTCACTGCAGGTAACATTTTGTGGCGAAAAAAATATAGTATAGGCGCCAACTCATCCTCCGAAAATCCCTCATCACTGCTAGAAAGAAAGTTTTCGACTTTTGAACAAAACACCGAATTTGGTGGTTAAACGCCGCAGGTTGATCTGGCTGATTTTGTTTATTCGCTGGAGTTTGTTTTACAAAGGAATGACGAACATGAATAGTATAAGGAACGCGCATCAGTAGAGGACAATTTTATGACTGTTAGAATATCCTGATCTTACATGCTGTCCAGGATCAGAGTTTATGCCGATTACTTGCTTGATAAAATTACGGTGATTCTTGGGTCATGGCGAAATTCTTGAAAATTGCTGGTTGGCTCTCCAGGGTAATAAACGTTTTAAGGCCAATCCGATGGAGGGAATTAGCAGGAGTGGAATGCAAGACTGCAAAATTTAAATTCCAAAGGCGACCGCAAGCAATTCGTGAACAATATAGAGGAACATATTTAGTTGTTAGTAAAAACATAAGTTTGTTTGGTCGGATGATATTCCGTATCCGTACCTGCAGTAGACAACCCCCGGATGCCTGTCATACGGTACCAGTGGTATAGGGGGTTTTCTATCAACGCCTAACCCCAACAGCAAACCCCTACCCATAACCCGTAATCCTAACCCTTACCCCTAACCCTGGGCTCTAATCCCTTACTCCTAACCCCAAAGCCGGGCCTTTAACCCAAAGCAGTAAACCCAAACTCTTAAGCCTAACCCCTAACCCAAACCCCTAGAGGTAAGGCTACGAAATAAGAACCTGCCGTTTGTCTAAATATCATGACACTCGAAACCTTTATTATTCAGCATTTACCTGCGTCTCCAGTTTCTACCAACGCAGCACATCAATCATAATCAACAATGTCAAGTTTTCTTTATCCACGGATGGTCTTCTATTTGCCCTAGTCTAGGCGTCAAGCGCGAGATTATAAAAGCTGCAATCTGACGGCGATCACAAGAAAT